ATATATACATATATATATACATATATATATATATATGTATATATATATTTGAACCATTTGCAAATATGTCACATGCATCTTTATGCCTAAATATTCTGGTATATATCTTAAGATCAAGGACATTATCTTATATAACATCAGTAAATCATCAGAATAAGTAACATCGATACAATAATAATAATGTCTAATCATGTGTCTCTATAAATCTTTACCTGTTAACCTTAATCACTTTTGTAAGGTGGCATCTTTCAGGTTTTTTAAATTGAAAGTCACTGTTTTTTCTTTGATAAGTAATTTGTAAGGAAGTACTTTGGTACAATGTAAATGTTCTCATCCTCATCAAACGTTCACCTGATAGTTTTGCAGAAATGAATGATTCTTACCTAAATTAATGATTTCTCTATAGTTGCAAGATGGTGATTTTCTAACCCACTTTTTTCATCCACAGTGAATCTTACTATAAGAAGCCTCCTTTCTGATTAATTAGTTAATTTTCAGTATGGGTTCATAAATTCTTTTTGGTTTTTTACTTGTCTCTTTCAAAAAAATTATTGATGTAATATTGGTTGATAGCATTATATAAATTTCAGGTGTACAACATAATTTGGTATTCGTATACTCTGTTGTGTGCTCACCACCAAAAGTCTAGTTTCTTCTTGACCCCCTTATTTTACTCAGTGAATCATAATCCATTACTATCATTATTTTGATGCTGAAATTGCCAGGATGTGGCCAGTGAGAACCCCTTCAAGCTAGCTCCTATGTCCTTTTGACAGGTTCTCATAATCTTTTTAAAGCACTTCCTTGCATTTTGACCTTCCAAGATGTTCTAGGATTGTCTCCCTTGCCTCAGATCTACAATCAGCCATGTGTCCAAAAAGCCTTGATTTACTTTAGAGTAGAATAGTGTTATTAAACACGAAGGTATGGGGGCTTCGCTAGCTCATTTCTACTGTGGTGTCATGGCTTTTTGGCCCTTTTGGAACTACAAAACTTAAGATATAGATGTAGAAAATATATAGATACAGAAAATGTATAGATATGTAGCTATGTATTAAAAGTCATGAATATATGCAGTTACTTCTAATTTGAATCCAGCACCACAGTTCTCCCTGGTTTCCTGTTTATTTACTCATATAGTGACTTTGTATTGAATGCATTGCTAAAAAATATGTTAGCCTGGACAAGCAAAATAATCTAGGTGTAGAAAAGGTAAACTGCTTTGTGACTAAACATTGCTGTCTGTTGAGCTGAGCATGATCCTCAATGACTGATGCACATTATTTCACATTTAAATTTTGTGGTAATCCTCAAAGTAGGTATGGGCATGGTCATTTTAAAGAAAAGGAAACAAAAGCATAAAATCCTGTCTACATATAGTTATAAGTAACACAGAGGAAGTGCCTTCTAGATCCTTAAGCACCCCATACAGTTTTCACTATGCTATTTAAATTCATAATCAAAAATCTTTTTGTCGTTGCTCCAGTTTCTTTCTGAAGTGTCAAGAAAGGAATACGGGCCCAGAATTACTAGGATTTATATAACAGAACATCTAATATATATCAGGATGCTTTTTACCTTTGCAGCTTAACAGGATCAGTTTTTACCTAAAAACTGATATAACCAAATGGGATAGGGTCTCCCATAGGTATTTTTTTTAATTTTATTTTTCAATTACAGTTTACATGCAATATTATTTTTTATTGGTTTCAGGTGTACTGCATAGTGGTTAGATAATCATATATTTTACAAAGTGTTCTCCCCGATACTTCTAGTACCCACCTGGCACCACACATAGTTATTACAATTTTATTGACTATATTCCCTATTTATATGTGACTCTAAAGAACAAACTAAAACAAAATTGAAACAGATTCATAGACACAGAGAACAGACGGATGGTTGCCACAGGGGAGGGGTTTTGATGAACTGGGTGAAAAAGTTGAAGGGACTGAGAAATACAGATTAGTAGTTACCAAAAAGTCCCATAGGTATTTACATACAGCCCTGAGCAGCTTAGATCCTTGGAAGACATGTTCCTGGGTAGTTATTTTCCTGGGATGAGAGTTGCTGACAGAATCCATGCCTTCATGACTTGGACAAGTGCACTAAACCCCTGAGGATCAATGAGCTAAGGCTCTGTTCAGACAGCGAGCAGAGTAGTAAGGACAGAGCGAAGGGACAAGGCTCAGGGGCGGGATGGCAAAACGTGGAACCAGGACTCCCGGCCACGGGCAAGGACTGTTAAAATTTATCAAATGGTATCATTTACAGTGGGGAAAATTAAATAGAAGCAAAGGGAAAGATAGAGTCTTTAATTACATTTTCCACTTTGAATGTTTTAGTGATTGAGGAGTAAGTTTAATGAAAATAACAATTTTAATGCCGCCTTACAATATTCATTTATTTATTTCCTAGCTAGTGAAAATGTCGTGATCAATCATTTGTTCCAGTCGAAACTGTCACAAACAGGATCCCTTCTATCTTCCTATCCTTCTTTTAAATTCAGAGGACATAAATCTGCCCTGCTCAATAAGAAAATGACAGCTTCTTCAATTATCGGGAAAAACAGGAATTATCTAGAACTTAGTAAGGTAGGAATTTTTGTGATTCTTCTTTGGTTGTTTTTAAGTTTGCTTAGAACATTTGCTTCTTTTTCAGAAGGCACAATTATGAGTACTAATGGAAAGAATTGATATTTTAATTTTTAAGAATTAGAGGGGAGGATGCCTACCTGAAGTATAACCGTCAGAAAGAAGCAACAGTGTAGGAAAGTACTTTACAGTGAAAATTCAAGAGCAAATACAGTATTTAGTAATTGTGTTGTCTGTGCAACACCCTGCTTGTGTTTCATCTCTGTGACTGTGTTTGTGATGAGTGGGAAGTAGCCTCAGGGACAGCAGGCTTAGAGGGAGTTGACGTAGCTCCCTTACTCTGTTGACATTAATTACTCCAGAGATTTAGGTCTCTGAACAATAAATTGTAGTTTCTTACAGACACAGTGTGTTTTTCAGGTGTTAGAGTGTTTTCACTGTGTATTTTCTAGACCTTTAACTTATTTCTTTATTGTACTATTTTTTAATGTGTATCTGTCCCACCCAAGAATGGTTGGACTTACAACCTAATGCTTCTAACTATTTGTGAAATAGAACTAAAAATTCAGTACAGAGTATTTTCAAACTGAAATGTTTGAAGTTTAAAATTCAGTGTAGCACATTCTGTTTTGCTTGCCTCTACCAAAACCATAAAAGATGAGAAATGTGATTGGGAAGGTGTCCAGGACAATCATTTTTAGATATTCAGTTGTAGCTTGCTGGAATGCATTTTAGCTTACCAATTAAAATGAAAGCATAATTAAAAGCAGCTCTATTTTAGAAGAGTGGCAAAAATGTGTATAACATATTAGGAATAAGTCAGACTCCCCCCCCCCATGTGTTTGTTTAGCTCTTAGGCCCCAGACTTAGGGACCCTTTCATAGAGTTGCTGCAGCTCTGTATGATCATAGGAATTCAGTCTCACTGAGTACAAAATGGCACCTTTTACATAAAAAAGACAAAGGGTTACCCTTTGCAAGGAAGATCTCTATCCCTGAGGGTTTCGCTCAACCTTCTGGCCCTTTCTTTCTCAATCATCCTGGAAATCGAGAGCAAGAAATCACCACACACCTCTAAACTGTAATTTTTAACCTTAATTATTAAACATTACCAGGCATAGATGCCATTAGTCTTTTCCCTAAAGGACTGCAGAAGAGAGATAATTCACAGTAGTTCCTCCATCCAGAAAGGGAAATTGAGTGTTCAATTTCAAAGGATAGAGATTTATTTATTATGATTATACCTTAAGTGTTCCATCTCTCACTTCTGTTCTAACTGCCCTCATCTCTCCATGTCCATCCCTGTGAGCGGCAGGGTAGGGTCTACCCAGCCTTTAACTGAGCATACACTGGGCTCTGTGTTTGTAGAAAAAGGTTGATCCTGGACCAGTCGCTTCATTTTACAGTCCCTTGTCAGTGCTAATTAATCATTTCTCTTTGACAGTTCATCTTAATGGAAGGAAAAGAGCTATTTCCATGGTAGCAATAGCACCAAATTGACAGGAGTGTTGTATCAGAATTTTTTCTTCTGTAAAGATCTTTCTATTTTAAGATAAATTATTTGGGATCACTAGATGTGTTGGCCTAAGTCTGTGTGATGTTGTGACCTGTAAAGGTACATTAGTGGCCGAGATTCCTTTTAACCCATGGTGGAATTTACTTAATTACCTTCTGCCCTTTATTTTTTCATTTCCCCTGGCTTCATTTTAACTGACTTTTTAATCTCCATTATCATTTAATCTTTGCTATATGTGATTTTTTTTCTTTTTCTTTTAAGAGGTGTATATAATTACTTATCAAAGAAAACATTGTCATTTTTCACAGCCGGGTAAAATTTTAGTAGTTTTTTAAAAAGGAAGAAGAAAAGGAAGGGTAAGGGGAAAAGCAGGTAAGAAACAAATGAATCATAGTCAATCTTAAGGGAAAAACCAATCATTGTTTAGACATCAAATCTCTGTAACATAAAATAGTGTTCTTTTGCCCTAGAGTCAGCTACATGGTGTGATAAATGTGGACAGGTAGTAACACAACCAGTAAAAATACCAGCGTGAGTTTACTGTACCACCAAGTGAAGTCTGGATCTATATTTACTTTCAGATTGAAGTGGGTGCGGGATGGTGACAGCCACGCCCTTGAGAGGTGGGCAGTGATGGGTGTTACTTTACACATAGGTGTCCATTTCCCCACTTTATGGTCGCATTAGAGAAAATCATTGGGTACTGATTTTTGCAGACTGTTTTAAATCTATATCTGCCTGTAAGGGAATTTGCGTGGATGAGAGAGTTAATTTTTTTCTTCTAAATGGAATTTAGTAAACTAAATTTCCTCATTCGTTCTTTTTGTTTTCTTTACAGCTATTAAAAAAGAAAGGAACTTCTACATTTCTTCAAAGACTGGAACGAGGAGGTCTCGTAACTATTGCCTCTCAACTCAGGGTCAGTGATGTTTTTCTGATTCTAAAACCTAAATTTTGATTATGTCAACTGTAGAGAGTTTACGTCGAGCCTTTCCCCATTTTGGCCCACTCGAGCACCTTCGGGGAAAGAAGCACACACACACACACACACACACACATACAGCGAGTGAAGGCATAATTTTAAAAGTCATGATTAAAGATAAAGGTTTTCATTTAAAAACTGCTTTATATTTTTAGTCGGTGTCTTCTTTGGAGAATCAGTTTGGTTTTACTTCTCTCCTTAGAAATCTCTAACGGATATTATTGGAAAACTTGAGAAGTGCACTCCACACTTTATTCATTGCCTCAAGCCCAATAACTCAAGGCTGCCAGATACCTTTGATAATTTTTATGTGTCTGCTCAGCTACAATATATTGGGGTCCTGGAGATGGTGAAGATCATCCGGTACGGATACCCTGTTCGCTTGTCCTTCTCAGATTGCCTATCAAGGTAAATTCCATTCTCGAATCATTGCACTCACTGTTCAGTAGAGCAGACTAACCATATTGCAACAAGGATCATCTGATTGTTTTCTTCATTACGGCATTGCTTTTATTGTTCATTTTCTTCTACCTTGAACAAAGAAAATACTCTGGGAAACAATGAAATGCACTGACAGAGCTAATGTAAAAAGTTACTAAACTTTGATACCTTGGAAATCATGTTCATGTTCTGTTAAATTTGTGGAGCTCCTTGGATTTAAAGATTTATAAAATTGCTATGTATGATGTTCACATAAAAGTATTATTTAGAGGAGGAATATATATATATACATATATATATGTGTGTGTGTGTATATATATATATATATATATATATGTGATTTTTTTTATATCTATGAACAAAATATTTTTTAGATTAAGGAGTGACAAGCCATTCATGGGCTAATTTCAGACTATCACCTATTTTTGTAAATAAAGTTTTATTGGAATACAGTCACTGGTTAAAATAATGAGAATGTCTGTTTTTAAGGAATGAAAAGTAAAATGGGGGTGGAAAATGAAAATCAGAAATATTTGTTAATTCTATATAAAAATGTGAAATTTAAAAATAATTTTGATATAATACAGTAATATCAATATTATAAGAATAAAATCTAGCATATATGCTTAAAAACTAACTGTACAATATAGTATGGAAAAATATTTTTTACAAACCATTCATTTAAGAAAAGAGATTTTAAGACTTGTTGACCAGAAGTTCAATTTCAGTCCCTACTCTGAAGAAACTGCTAAATTTAAATTAATATGTTGGAAATATTTAGTTCAGAACAAAGAGCATAATACTTATGACTGAAACCCTATGTTCAGTTTCTTTAATACTCATTTTTGCAGAAGAAAGAAGTAACATTTCTTCATTGTGTGTTTTGATAAATTTCACAAAGACAGAGAAAAATTGGCCACATGTCATGATAAATTATTTAGGGAGTGACTCTGCAGAATATATATTTCAGATTGACAAGATATCTGAGGTTTAAAACTTAAAAGATACTTATGGATGAGAAAATAAACACACTGTCTTCTATTCACGGGGAAGAAATACAATATATTTCCCACATATCATAATTTGGGCATTAAAAGTCACTCTCCTTCCCATTTCCCATTTGTTTAAGTACAAGTAGTCTTTGTATTAATAAGTTTAAAACCTTTCCCTAATCCAGTTTAAAAGAATAGGTTCCCAAATTCACCCCGGACCTTCTGAATGTCAATCAATACAGAGTGAGATCCAAGTACCGCCTGTTTTGTCCTGGGGTGAAGGGTGGGGTGATACCTGCTAGTAGCGTGTGATACCAGAGGGTCACAGGCCTTGCTCAGTTGCAGTTTGGGCATCAGTAGTAACTCCCTTCCCAAGCATTGCAGAGAACAGCTGCTCCCCAGTATTACCGTCCATTAAAATCACTGTAGGCTTGTTAAAGAAGATTCCAGGGCAGCAGTCCCAGAGTTTCCCACTCAGTAGGTCTAGGTGAGGCCAGTGAAATTAGCATTTCTAATGGTGATGCTGACATTGCTGGTATGTGAACAACCTCTTGAGAACCACCGGCCTGGTCATTTAGGCACATACATGTCTTTGTTTTGTTTTGTTTTTTTCTTAGCAAGGGTTGAAAGTATGTGGATACCTTAATAATCAAAGTGAACTTGTTGATGATGTAAAATCTCAATCATTTATTAACTTATTGAATTGAAATCTGCAAATTTGTCAAGATTCCCAAGTGATCTGTATGTACTTGGAATCTGAGAAACACTGTTGATGGGTTTCTATATTGGATATGAAAGAGGATTAATCTCACTCTGTGAAATTTTTTAAAAGTATATTTAATGCATTATTTTCTGTTTCTTTACTTTGTTAGAGTGTCCTAGAATCATGGACTCAAAAGAAAATTTGCATTAAAGGGCTCTTCAGTGTTTCTTTAGTACAATCTTTGGTAGCTGCATAAATCTTTTTTTTAATTTATTTTATTTTTATTGTTGACACTATTACAGATGTTCCTCCCCCCTGCCCCCCCGCCCAGCACTGTGCTCACCACCTACCTCCCCCACCATTACCACATTTTTGTCTATGTCCAAGGGCTCTGCAATATATGTTCTTTGGCTGATCTCTTCACCTTTCATCCATTCCCTCCCACTCCCCTCCCCTCCCCTCCCCTCTGATATTTGTCAGTCTGTTCCATGCATCCATGCCTCTGGGTCTATTTTGTTTGTCCATTTATTTTGTTCATTAGATTCCACATGTAAGTGAGATCACATGGTACTCCTCTTTCTCTGATGGCTTATTTCACTTGGCTACTATTCCAACAATCAGTTACTTGAATTGCCCTGTTCCCAAGAAAAAAGTAGAGAACGTGGCTGCGTGTATGTGTTTGTGTTTATGATTTTGTGTACACTATAATATATCATAAAGATTAGAAAATTATTTTTACCTTTATTTTTTATTTTTTAAATCCAGTATGACATCTGTACTATACCAGGATTTATCTCTATTAAAATAGCATATGCAATGAGTGTCTTTTAAAATTAAGTTTAATTTTTATATGTAGGCTTTTCTTACTATACTATGACTTCTAGGCAGCGACCATCTTTTAATGAGTCACATTTTCTGTGCACTGTTGGTGTTTATTCAGTGTTTTCAGAATGAACCTGACATTGAAGATTAATGGTAGTCCAATTTGAAGTAATGTTTGTACTTCAAACAGAGACCTTAGCTGTACTTCATTTGTTTAAAAGAGTAGTGGGAATGGGAAATGACACATTTTAGTAAATCTTTGCATTTCTTTAAGCAGCCCCTTATTTAAAAGGAAATGGGGTATCTACTTATTAATTTTATTTGCAATGGCATAACAATAGAAATTGAATTATTAATTTATTTCCATGGAAAGTTGTCTTTATTTCTCTTAAATGAAGGATGCCAGTCTGGAATATTATCACCAAAAAATGTGAATCCATAGGGAGAATATCAGTTTCTATAGAACTTGAATAAAACACAGTGAAGGAATAGCATAATTTGCCCTAGCCAGTTTGGCTCAGTGGTTAGAGCATCAGCCCTCGGACTGAAGGGTATAGGGTTCGATTCTGGTCAAGGGCACATACCTACGTTGCAAGTTAGGTCCCTGCATTTGGGAGGCAATCAATCCATGTGTCTCTCTGACATCGATGTTTCTGTCTCTCTCCCCCACTCTCTCTCTCCCATTCTCTTGGAAAAGCAATGGAAAAAAATATCCTCAAGTGAGGATTAAAAAAATTATTTATTATTCAGAAAGCTCCTCAGAACTTTGAAATTCCCCTGGCAATCAAGCATCATTATATAAAAAAGCCTAGGGGTGCAATTTAATAGAACATTTTGGTTGCCAAACTATCAGACAACATAATGTATTTTTCCTATGTAAAATATTTATTTTCTTTTCATAGCAACTTGTCCTAACTGTTGGAGAATAAAATCCTGTCAAAACAAATGATTTTGTTTAGTATACAAAAAGTAATGTGGTTATCAAAAAAAATAAAATTGGACAAATAGAAAAAGATGTCCAGTTTTGAAGCAACACCTACCTATGTGAACAGCGTGTATTTTTTCTGAAATCCAACATGATAATAAATATAGATAATGGACATTCCAGTGAAATCTGTAGGTGGACGTGATGATATTACAAGTTTGCTCCCTGGTATCTGGGCTTTAATAACTGTTCATCATTCTGAGTCTTCCTAATTGAAACTCTAGAATTGTGGGAGTTGAGAGGATCCTGTTTTGATTAAGTGTAGAAGTATGCTTGAATTTTTTCCTAACACTGTCCATAGCTTCCTAGTGAGATGATAAAGATGTAAGGTCCTGACTCTCCTGGCAGGAAACTTCACAAGTTTGGATATATGAGGAAGAAGGAAAGCAGCAACAGAACTGAATTATTATGTAAAAATCATGATACATACTATTGCTATGGGCTGAATCATGCCTGCCCTGTCCACATGTTGACGCTCTAACCCCCAATGTGACTGTATTAGGAGATGATGCCTGTAAGGAGGTAATTAATAGTAAATGAGATCATAAAAGCAGAGCCCTGATCCAAGTTCTGCTGAGGTGGCATATGAAACTCCCTGTATTCCACTGGTGGAAGGCAGTCACTTGGCAAAGCCTAGCAGCATTAGGGTTGAAGAGTGTCATCATACTGATAGGAGATAATTACTATAAAACACCTAACAAAGAGTGGGTGGGAAGTGTAACTTCTGGCTCACTTACCTGTTGCTATGTGTCAGGCTACCCCAAAATTCAATGGCATACAGTAGCAATTTATTATTTCTCCCAGTTCTGTGAGTAAACTGTGCTTACTGGGCAATTCTTGCCTGTGGTCTTTCTAACATTGGCAGCCATACAGCAGAAGAGATTGGTGTTAGCTGAAGACCCAGCTGGGCTGGTTGTGCAAGATGACTTCACTCCTGTGTCTGGTGCCTTAGTGTTCCTCCCGTATGGTCTCTCTCTCCAGCAGAATATCCTGGACTTCTGACCTCATGGGTCTCAGTTCCAAGGGTCAGGAATGGAAACTTGCAGTCCTCTTAAAATCTGAGCCTGGTACTAGTACAGCATCACTGGCCTTGTGTTTTATTGGTCAAAGCAATTGCAGACCAGCCCAGATCCTTTCAGTGGGAAGGATGCAGGTGACAGTGGCCAGCTTTGGGAGGAGCTATCGTAACCTCTTAAAGGAAGAACATGCAAGTAATTGGGAGCAATAAAATCCTTCCACAGCCATGTCTATGCATATGAATTGCTATTATTTTCATATACCCCCAGTAAGTGTATGTGAATTTGATATGCTGAATAATATAATACCATCTTTTTTTCCTAACATATAGAATTGTGGGAAAGAATCATGAGTGAATGCTGAAGAAATGGTTTTGAGAGGTTCTTAAAAGTATGGTACCATGTCTTGTGCCGTGTATTGTGCCATGCCGTTCTTTCCCAGAGCTCTC